GTAATCCCGTTATTCCCATTCCAACTAATCATCACACACTAGCAGCCCACGCACATCACAAGTCGCGTGCTTCACACATGTGCGGATCAACCTAACCTAACCCTACCGACCTCATGCAAATTGTGCGGTCCTCTCAGGGAGCCGCATAATCATAACCCCTGTGCACGATCTGCACAGTGGTGTTTTAGTATGTACATATGTATATCACTTATCGTCCAATTGTATGAGGGCGTGACTCAGTTACAATTACCACTGCATGGCAAGGGTGTGTGAGAATCGTAACGGTCCCCTGAGGGAGCCGTTCCATACAGGGGAGTGCACATTTTGTATCTAGCCATCACATATGTAATTTGAGAGGGGGTGGAGAAACTGTGTATGAAGGACGTGTAGGTGCGGTCCCCTGAGGGAGCCGTCCAGTAAACAGGTGTGAACACTGCCCTTTCAGCCATCACATCTTCACTCTGAGTGAGGGTGCAGACACTGTATATGAGGGACGTGCAGGTGCGGTCCCCTGAGGGAGCCGCTACTCGTCCTTGCCTGCCTCGTGTGTTAGTATACGCCCAACCCTAATTCATCCAAAAAGGGAAATGGTCGCCCACCTGCCGCAAATTTAAACCCTAGATTAGGGTTAGGGTCTCAAGCACTGAGCCGTCCACCTGCGCAACCTACAATCATCTATCAACCCTAACGTGAAGAGCGGCGGAAGGACGGATGCGATGGGACAGCTCGTTATAGAACTGGCATGCGCTTGGAATGACGACTGGGGGAACGCCCTGGGTGCCATCGAGAGACTCGCCGAAGACGTCGTACTCGTCTGGCAAAGGTTGGTCGTCGTCCAAGTCGACTACACGAGGTCTACGGGATGTGGCACGACGGATGTCTGAGATGAAAGGGGCGAAGTGGGGAAGGACAGCGTCGCATTGGATGTGACCCATGGTGCGAAGGAAAGCCTGGGGGTAGACGGAGACGGAAGGGGTGGAGGTGTGTTCTCCTGCGTAAGCGTCTTCGTCGGTGGCAGCGTCAGGATGGTCTGGAATGTAAGAGGAGAACAACTCGGAGATTGTCTCCAAGTTGACGAGGAGACCGCAAGGTCTGGTGTTGCGACGACTCTTACCATGGAGGCGAGGGATGCGACGTCCATTCTCCTCGTAGACGTTATTTTCGCGGGTGGTGTGTGGATCGCGATGAGGGAGAAGGTCGAGGTCTACCTCTTCGCGGACGTCTGGGTCTGGGGAGTCGTAGACGACGCCATGCTGGAGGATGATGTCTTCATTTGGGACCTCTTCCCAGCGTTTGACCCTCAAGCATCTGATCGATGAATGAATAAATCAATAAATGAAATGAAATGAAATGAAAGATGAGCGAAGAGGACGTACGAGACGTCTGTGGCGATAGCGACGGAGATGTACCTTATGTTGGAGTACGATCTCTCGGCGTGCCAATTCTTTGCTTCGAGGACTTGTGCTTGGTCTGTTGCGGTTGCGATGGGCTGGTTCTGGCCGTAACGGCAGGTGATGGCTACTGGGGTGCGACTGAGAAGCCAGCCATCCTTTTTCCAAGAGCGGGGTGCATCTGCGACCCACTGTTCCCAGTCTGATGCGATTATGTTGTTGAGCTCCTGCAAATCTGTGAGACGCAAGTCCCAAGTTGCCTGCGAGCTAGATAAAATAGATAAAATAAATATTGATCAGCTGCGTTCCATACATGCTTGACTGAAATGAAATGAGAGGATGACCCGCCGTCGCTACACCCTCACAGAGCGGACCAAATAAGGAAATGGACGAGATATGCATATAAAAGACGAAGTTGCACGTATGTATCACCATGTATGAATGTCTGAGATGGCAGGGAGACCCGCCGTGGCTATAGGCCACTAGTGCGGACCAAATGGGATGTACGACATGATATATTAACATATGAAATGGACAAGAGAGCCGCCGTGGCAATAGGCTACTAGTGCGGACCAAATAGGATGCGGAAGACTCACTATATGTTGGAGACATCCTTGATTCTCCAGGCGCTTAGGTCGTCATCGGTGCCGTAATGGTGCATGACGTAGATGGGGAGATTGGGGATTCTGGACAATGCGTAAGCCATGAACATGACGGCCATGCGGAAGTGAGAGGAGGAGAGTCTGGTGTCGCCGTGTTGTCTTTCGCTGAGGAGGGGGACGTTGTTGGCGATGTCGAGGTCATCGAGGTTCTCTTGGGGGCAAAAAGCCAACCAGAATTGGCATGCAGGGCCGGTGCCGATGGCCATCATGCACCCGGTAGGATCGAAGCCCAACTTGCCGAACTTGGGGCAAAAGAGACGGGAGGGGAGACAGAGGTTGAGGGCGATGGAAAAGGTGTGGTCGACGAGCTTGTTCGGAAGCAAGGCGTGCAAACCAATGGATCCCCCTACGATGAGGCAAAAGTCGAGGAAATGATTGGAGGCGTCCCACAAGAGCATCTGGTCTTCGTTGTCGTAGCACAAGTCGTTGTCGAAGCGAAGAAGGGAGCGACGATGCAATAAATTTATTGCGGCGGCTTTGTCTCCCTTTTTGAAGGTCCTGGCGAGGGCGGAGAGATTGATGGGCTGTACCTTTGTCTGCTCCCAGGTACGACCGGTGGAACGTGCGCCATCCTGGGTCATGAAGAGAGACTCGAAGATCTGGCTCTGAGGCAAGGCATCTTCTGCCTCGACCGAGGCAGGAACATCGGCAAGATCGAAAGGACGAGGCTCGTCTTGATCGCCATCTCGAGCAGCAGCGGCACCTTGAAAGGTGAAGGTGGCGAGATCGTCGTCATCGCTGTCGAAGCTGGAACAAGAGGTGGGCGAGCAAGGGTCGTCAGTAGTCAGTAAAATAAATACACGCGTGGAGACTCACAGACGGTCTTCCGGGTCAGACATTGTATGGATGGAATGAAAAGTGCGAGTTTGCAAATGGAGGAAAGCTGGAGAGAGATTGGAAAGACTCGGAGAAGGCTAGAGGAAAGAGGCGAGAAAGACGCACCAGGACGCAAAGAGTAGAGAAGAAAAAAAGAACGGGTCAGCTGGGATGTCCATTAGTTATATTGGAGGGGTGCCGGCAATGGAAACTAGTTTAAATTTTGGTGCATGCAACAGACGATCGATCGATCAAGGTACCTGAAATGTTGGATATTGGAAATGAGAAACGAAAACGGAGCGAACAGACAAATGAATGAATGAATGAATGAATGAATGAATGAATGAATGGACGTACAAAGGCAAGCAGCAAAGCGATGGCTATCGATGAAGGTCGAGGGCGGTATATGAGGGAGGGAGGATGATGGGATGGGGATGGGCACAGGGGGACGAGTTTGTGCTTAGGGATGGAAGCGAGGGAGGATTAAATAAAAGAGGGCCGTAAAGACTTAGCATTTAGCGCCGAGGATGGTTATGGGTCAGAAGCTTGCTGCAAAGGGCTTAGCACGACAGGGGACCGGCACGAGAAAGACCGAAAAGAGTGGACTTGGCAGGGATATGATAATGGAACGTAGCACTTACAGGAGTCGGACGACGGATATGGATTGAGACCGACGATCAATGATGACGAGGGAATGGGCGATAGATCAGGAATGAAACACAGGTATGGAGAGAGAAGAGAGAGACTGACAGATGGGAGAAGACTGTATGAGTCGAGTGTTTGCGAAGCTCGATATCGTAGACGATACACGAACGCACATAGGTGAAAGAACGAGAGACAAACGACTTGAAACGAAAGACCAACGACTCAAGATAAGTCATGCGCTAGGAAGGGAGACGTACTGAACGAGACAGACGAGTAAATACTGGTGAAGACGGGATCTGGATCTGGATGCAGCGTTGATTCGAAGATATTAATTCGAAGCGAATGCAAAGAGGTCGAAAGAGGCAGAGATGCCGTAGCAAACTCGAAGGGCCTAGAGGAAAGAAAGAAAAATCAAAGGTAGAGCGAACGAATTCTGGTCTGAACTGCAAAGGGCACGCACCACGAGAGAATGCGTGCTAGTCACAGGATGTTAGCGAGGGATACAAGGAAAGCTACGAACGACACATGCGCAGGCAGGCGTGAACGCACCTAGTAAGAATACAAATGATCGAGGAGAACAACGCACAAATGCATGGACTGATCGTTCATGCTTGCAAATGAAAAGGCGGACGACGCTCAAACGCACGAGGACAATATTAATGAGACACAACACAGCACACGATTGACATTCATAGTTCGTAGTACAAATCAAGCCAAGCGACAACAGACGGATCAAAAACGAGACCAAGCGACGAGAGACAAGGATATACGGACGGATGGAGACGCAAACGACGGGGCATAAGGCATGAATGAAAGCAAACCAACGACCTGCGAGTACTGAGCACGAACGGACGCGTAAGGACACTTGAGAGACGAAGAAGAGGACAAAGTACGTGAACGAGAACAGCAAGTAAGAGCATAGACGAAAGCGATGGTAAGGGAGGGGAAAGAACAATGTACTTGAAGGCAGAAAGACACGCAAGATCAAACGCCAGGAATGAAGGTGCCCTCTGAATCGTCCCTGTGAACGATCTTTGCCTTCTTCTTGTTCTTCCTGCCCCGACCAGTGGTGGAGGACGTGGAGGAATTGACTTGGCAAGTGGTTGAGCACAATGAAATAGAAACGAAACGAGAGGTCGACGCACCGGTGGCAGCACGGTCACGTTTGGATGAAGAAGCGACTGGAGTGACGCGTTCTTCTATGGGGGTTAGGTTATGATGTGCAACGATGCAAACGAGGGATCCACGAGCACGACTTACCGTCATCGGATGGAGGGGACGAGACAGGAGGGGACGAGAGGGGAGACGTTGGCTGGGTGGGCTCTAACGCTATGAAAAGAGACGGCAAGATGAGAAATGAGCCGCGGTGGCAGGTAGGCTGATTGGCGGACGTACCATGACCTGGACGTTCGTCGACGTCCGATATGACGTCTTGATTCTCGGCGTCCTTCTGACCATCGTTCTTCAAGTTCTCAGCGTTAGGATCATACCAACTCACGTCAGTGGTAGAGAAGCCTTCGATGGGAGAAGAAGCACGTTGTGCAACATTTTCTGACCCGGCGTGTTCATCGACGTCCATGGCGGGAGGTGATGGCTGACGCTGTTTCTTTGCGACAGGGCGAGCTTTACGTTTTGCTGGCTGGGAAGCAGCTAGCTGGTTGAGGCGTGGTCGCCGGGGAAACAGACATAGCTTCGCCAAGTGCAGACTTGGAGCGTGTTTTGGCAGAGGGTTGCGTCGTGGCAGGCGCAGGGACAGGCGTGTCCTGCTGCTCGCCTGCACGAGCCTTTCCTTTCTTCTGCTTTGTCTTCGCAGCCGGTCGCTCTACCTCTGTCTCTGGGACAGGCGTGTCCTCCTCCTCCTCTACAACACGAGCCTTACCTTTCTTGGTCTTCTTCTTCGGCGTCGGAGGACGTTCTTCCTTCGGACTCCTGCTCACCTCCCTCCTTATCTGTCGTCGGCACCGCACCATATCCCTTAACGATATAAATGTATATAAGTATGTAGCGGTGGATGAATATAAATGAATTGAATGAATCACGTACCGTTGTCAGATCGTCGAAGTAACCATCAGAGAGGGGGATGTGTAGGTCGAAGTTGACCTGGTCCAAATCGACGAGCATATTTGGGTCCTTGTTCAACAGGCGAGTACGATTCCTCGCAGCATTTATCTCTAACCCCTGTAAAGAAACGTCAGAACGAGAATGATGGCACACGACACATACGAGTGAGAAATATAAGGTAAGTACATATAGGTCCGCACATGTCGTGTATAGCGACGGCGGACCATATGAGACACACAGGTCCGCACATGTCGTATATGGCGACGGCGGACGTGGTGACACATGTACATGTCCGCACATGTCAGATGTAGCGACGGCGGACGTGGTGACACATGTACATGTCCGCACATGTCAGATGTAGCGACGGCGTACGTGGTGACACAGACCCGTATAGGTCCGCACATGTCAGGTGTAGCGACGGCGGACCATGGTGACATACACAGGTCCGCATATGTCAAGTGTAGCGACGGCGGACTATAGTGACACAGACATATATAGGTCCGCACATGTTGATTGTAGCGACGGCGGACCAAGTGTCAAGTCGTAGGTACGTCCGCGGATGTAGATACTAGCGACGGCGGACGTGTACTCACCGTGATCAATTCTTTCAGCGGGGTCACGACGTCAGCGGATAGGATGTTGTTGGGGGAGGAGGATAATGCGCAGGGCATGTTTGAGATATACGCGACCAGCTTCTGAATTGCCTCGCGGTCGTTATTCTCGAGGACGAGACGCTCCTGCAGCTGACGCTGCTCCCTTATGACGGTGTCTTTGATGCCCTGGAGGACGACGTCGGGCTCCTCCTGAGTCGGACTCAACACGATCGCATCCCACCACTTCCACTCTTGCTCGGTGACAAGCTGGCCAGTGTAGTCCATCGTCTGGATCTTCGTCACCCCTCTGGTAAGCGTGTCCTGGAGGAGCCAACGAAGGGCCCCGATGAATTTGTCTTGCACCATCTTGGGGCGATACTTGCTGATATGAAATCGTTCGACAGCGATGGCCTTCATGCAGGGATCAATATCCCTGGCGGCGTTCTTGAGCGTAGGGCTGAGCCAATCCCAGGAAGTCGTGTGGAGGGCCAATGTACCCGCAATGGTCGAAGGTTGCGAAGCTAAGTCCCGATTTTTGTTGGCCTTCATCCTCCTCTCCATAAGGATCTTCGTGAGCGCCTCGCTCGCGATCGTCTCTCCTGACGGCAATCTCTCATACGCCGACATCAACTCCTTCTTGTCCTTCGCTCGTGGAACGACGCGTTGCTTCATATTGATCATGTAGTTCGTGAGTCGGACCATCAAGGTACGTCGGTGTTCCCAGATGATCCCCGCGATCTATGACGCAACATAGTTAGCGTATTCGGTCGCGTTAACGCTCCCCCCTCGAAACTCACCTTGGCGCTGTATTCGTGTCCCTTCCCAAGGAAACGCGAGTCATTGGTGATGTTCTGCAACATCACCGTCGACCAGTCGTCCATGGTGTGGGTCTTCGGGTGGAGCATTCGATAATAGTCGAGGAGGCTCTCGAACCAACGGCAAACCTTCGTTCGAAATGTTAAGGTGAGTTCTGCGCGTCATTAGAACTAATTAATAATATACTCACCTCCGCCAGTCCGTCTTGAATGCGCACGAACGAGTCCCATGACTCGTTCATGACGAAACCACATAGGAGGGGCTCAGGGGCGTGCACTTGCCCTTGCTCTGGGGTCAGATAGAGGAGGACACGGGCGACCACACGATCGAGGTGAGCGAGGATCTCGTTTTCTTCGTAGTCCTCGTTCGACGTGAGTCCCCACCCGTCTTGCAGCGTTTTCACCACGCTCTGGCGATAGATGCTCAGAGGTGCGATATACACCGGGCTCATCTCCCCCATGTGCTCGCTGATTTTCGACAGCGCCGACGACGCATTCTTGTCCAGGCCATCCATCACGTTCGCCCACAGCGAAAGGTCTTGATCGTCCTTCGCCTTCGGGGTTCGCAGCAGCAAGGTGCGTAATTCCGCGACCTTGGCGATGGCGGCGGCATCGCGAGCGTCTGCTTTCTCCAACAGGTCCGTCACCTCCGCATAGCTCGGGAACATCGCCTTCGAGCTCAAGCGCCTCAAGGTCTCGATGCGGATCTTGATCCACTGGAGATACATCTGGTGATAACGGTGAGTCGACCCTCCTTCATCTATACTAAAGCGAATCCACTCACGCCCATGCAAACGTTAATAGACTTCGCAAGCCAGTTCACCGTAAATTCACGGCGATGCCTGAAGTGCGGTCCGAGCTGCAACAAACGTGTCGCGAGGAACACGCACAAAGTCTCGTGCTCCAGCA